AGATGTGCGAGGATAGACACCCATGGCATGACAAACACACGACTAATGAGACAGATACAAAACATCAAAGAGAGATTAAAAAAAAAATAATGAGGGACTTCCTTGACGCGTATGGAGGAGGAAGACTGGACAGACATGTGTGGCAGATTTGCGTCAAACTCGCCCACCAGGAGAGTGTGGAGAAATAAAAATGTATTACCTCACACCCTCCTCACGCCTGCCTCCAATATGTGACATGATGGAGGCGCCTTAGCTCTTTTCCCTCCCTATATTAAACCCAGGTCTTTATTCCACAGGCCTAAAATATACACAGAGACTGAACAAAGCTGCCTAGCAAGGAAGCCATTAGGAGCGTGTACCAGAGAGGAGGCTGGTATAGAGGGGCGGTGTTAGGGGGCGCTAGGGAGGAATTATACGTGATTATGGGTGAATGTGAGGTAGGTAGTAGGCAGCTACCAAACAGGGAGGCACTACCGCCTGGGAAGATATTGGAAGCATAATGTGTTGCTGCCATATGGCATCACAAAAATTGTGACCAAGTCCCAGGTTGCTGATCTGACTTTCTGCCTCATTTACACACAATTGCCGGGTCTCAATTGTTTCTCTCACGTTGACAACACAACATACATAATGTATATCGTTTCTCACTCTTGATCTTTATTATTATTGTAATTTAATTATATTTTTAATTTTGCAATTTTTTATAAAATTTATTAAGACTTTTTAAAATATTATTATGATTATACAGTATTTTAGCCCCCAGGCCCCGATGTGGGCTAGTGACCTGTGCCCGGGTGGGCTATTCCCTGTAAAAAAAAAAAAAAAGGAAGGCTGAGGGAGCTAAGGCCTACTAGCCGCTTCTAAAGACAAAGTTAAAATCGTTTTATACTTATTCCTCCACCAGACTGACATTATTGAGTGAAAATTCCGAAGAAAATAGACAACCATTACAGACGCGAAGGACAACTTTAAACTTTTTACAACATCCTCCCGCTGAGAGAATAAGGAACACATCGAATGTTGGCCTAAAAATATTTATATAATGATTACACCCACAGGAAGCGTGGCGGCCATAACACCAACCAACCGACCTGAATGTCACCAAATGATCTTCTATTTATAGTATGGATATTTCACGCTTTATATTCAGTAGCTCACAGCTCAGTTTGTTCCTTCTTTTCCCGCCGGATTTACCTTCCATATGTGAGCAGAGGAGAAGCAGAACACTCGGCTAGAAGAAAACACCTCACACCTTCCCCCTGATGCTGTTTGTTTACAAGTTACACCTTAGCTCGCTAACTCTTGCTTCCCTCACTGCTCATCTGGTAAAATCTTTCGTTCGCACAACACTAGATGGGGAGATGCTGCTGCCACATGTACTGAGAGACTATTATTAGAAAGGATCTTTTAAAAGAATAGCAAGAAAGAGCGACCTACTCCTTAACCTTCACCAAACAAGAGGAACAAATCAATTACCTGAGGTGTTCCAGCAGAGGCCGCGGCATTACCAACTTCTTGAGGTAAATGACGAAAATAACGGCACCAACTTAAAAGCGATTTGTTATCCTCGGGATTTTCAGTGAAACATTTGTCTTGATACAGAATCCAAACTTTGTGGCGGCAAGTGAGAAAAATAACAAATTACGCCGGAAATGCAACGTAGACTAATTAAAACAAATCACCACTGAATTATGTCTCATTTCAACAGGTAAAAACCACTGACCTCAGCCAGCTTGTCGTCCCTTTCCGTTTTTTTATTGAAATTCCGACAAAAGATTCGATAACTATAAGGCCTCATAAATGAAATCCCCAAACCCGATAGTTTAGTGGCATCTGTCCTTCCATTAAACAACAACAACACTTATGAATCACCTTCCAGAGTTCTCACACTGACCAGGAAATGAAACACCTTCTGAACTATGGCGTCTAAAATAATTCTCTCAAAAATTTTGTAATAAAATAATAAATAAACTTCTATAAGGTAAATTTCTAGCCTCGGCTTAAAGTCCTGATTACTATGAAGTGAAAGGACAACCTTACCTGTCCTGTAGACCTGTAGAGTTCCAACCTGGGTTCAATCAATGCCTCACAACTGCTTCATCTTAGGTTCGGTCTTGATACCCAACTCTGACTCCCTTTGTTTACATTCGCTCACTGGGTCTATAGTGCTCCATATACAATAGTCTAACTCACTTTTCTCACTATTTTCACTTGATATAGGACCACTTGGACAGGGCGACTCTCCCTGGTGTTTTTCTGACGTAAAAATCCTCAGTTATCGTCGTCTATAACTAAGTTTGGAGGAGAACCATCTTCACACGCACACACACACGGGGACACTAACCTCGCCACCATGATTTTCGACTCCGGTGACTCTGAATAATTTTTTTTACTAGTATGAACTAACACAGTGACAGGACTTCCTGGGACAGACATTTACTTACTGGTTAAATGTTTTCTGTATTGTTATTGGTTATGGAATTTATTGATTTTGTATAGGAATGAAGGGCGATTTGGGGTCCATTTGATCAGTTACCATTACTATCATTCTAGCGGCTAGCCACTACTAGCCCTGGGAAGGTGGCGTGGGAGGGGGATGGGGGGGTCGTGGCATGGGAGAGGGATGGTGGAGTGAGAGGGAATGGTAATGTGAGAGGAAATGGTAGTGTGAGGGGGGAGATGGTGTGGGAGGGGGCTCGTGGTGTGGGAGGGGGGTCGTGGTGTGGGAGAAGGATGGTGGTGTGAGAGAGGAGAGTGGTCTGAGAGGGAGGGGAGGGGGAGTTACTGGAGTGCTGTCAAAGGCTCTAGGACCGTCAGAGACATAAAGGAAGAGAGAACAAGGCACGGAAGTGTAAAGAGTAAACATAACGTCTATCTCAAGTGAAGTTTGAAGTATAGTACCTCCTCCCCTCTCCCCACCCCTCCCCGCCGCTTCCTGCACCTCGTCTCGTCCTCTTGTGAACATACGCACAAGAATTACACCTTCAGGAGCACGCGTATACTGACCGAGTCCCTCACTAACAGGAGCGACATTCACCAGAACTGCTGCTGGAGAGGTGTTGAAGGGCAGCAATAGGAGGGAACCATAAGAGAGTGGTACTTCTGGGGGGTCATCTGTTACTGCCTCCACGTCTCTCATTCTTCTTTTCCACCTCTCCTCCTTTCCTCTTCGTCTTCCTCCTCCACTTGCTAATTCCCATTCATAAACATATTCTTATTGGTAACTCCATTCCTTTTCTGTTTCTACGATGTATATTATTATTCAGGTAGGCTCCCATAATTGACTCAAGGCTGATAATTGGACAGGTATTCCCCAGGTACTCCAAGCTCCTCCAGTATTAACATTAGACCCTTGGTGGATGACCCTCACTGGACCTCTTGGGAGATCAGAATGACCTAACTGATAGAACTTTCAAGTATATTTCTAAACAAAATACAACTTTAGTGCTAGTAGGCTCGAGGGTGACCTGACTGCCACTACATGACTACTCAAGGTCCTCCTCGGTACTTCCTCCGTTTGATCTATACTTGGGAAAAAAGATAACTTCCCTGAACACAGAAACAAAAGGGTAAAGAGGACGATAATGATTGTTTACTTACTGGCAGAGGAAGGCAAAGTTTTTCTTCTATATTCTGACAGAGTTTTGGAGCCTTAGTTATTATTATTTTATTGCTCTTTAATACGTAATCTGGAATGAACGCTAACCTAACCTAATCTAATGAAAATCTTATCTTTATCTGACCTGACCTGACCTAACCTATAAGTGAAAATACAAAAATTACGGGGTTGCATACACCATTATTTTCTTGTTAATTAAACGTCTTAGGAGTTAATTAGGTAATCTTAAAGACGTGACGTAATGCATAGTAAGGTGAAATGGAAGTGTAATTAACGTTCCTTTGTAATTTAATAAACGTTTGTTTTTGTTTTGAGAGTTAAATGGACATGTTGAAGGTAGGGTTATCACCTCTATTACCACCATCACTACTACCATTAACACCACCACCACTACCACGACCACTACCACTATCACCACCACTACCGCCATCACTACCACTACCACGACCACTATCACCACCACTACCGTCATCACCACCACTACCACGACCACTATCACCACCACTACCACTACTACTATCACCACCACTACCGCCATCACCATCACTACCACCACCACTACCACGACCACTATCACCACCACTACCGCCATCACCATCACTACCACCACCACTACCACCATCACCACCACTACCACCACCATTACTACCACCACCACTACCGCCATCACAATCACTACCACCACCACTACCACCACCACTACCGCCATCACCATCAATATCACCACCATTACAACCACCACCACGACCACTCTCACCACCACCACCATGACCACTATCACCACCACTACCACGACCACTATCACCACCACTACCGCCATCACCACTATCACCACCACTACCGCCATCACCATCACTACCACCACCACTATCACCACCACTACCACCACCATTACTACCACCATTACCACTATCACCACCACCATTACTAACATCACCACCACCACTACTACTACCACCACCATTTACCACACCACCACCACCACCACCAGCAGCAGAGGCAGCCTAGTAAGTGCCGTCACAGATAACACGTTAGACCCAATAGTTTAAGACACTTGAGACTTGGCAGCTTATCTCCCTACGACAACCACGACCTTCCACGACCCTACATCTTAGTGACACAGTGTTCCATGGTCGTACTAAAGTCGTATAAATGTCGTATTAAGATCACAAAGACGAGAGAAGCTGAAGTACGTTCGTTTATGTGACCTGGAATACTCACCATCATGTAGCATTGTATTTATGTTTTCTTAACCTAACACCAGGGCCCTTAACCTAGCACCAGAGCCCTTAATCTAACATCAGAGCCCTTAACCTAACATCAGAGCCCTTAACCTAACATCGAAACCCTTAAGACGGTAATCAGGACGTCTTACTTACAGGGGAGTGGCTGTAGAAGGGATCGTGGTGCGCCTGGCGGAGATCCTGAGTCTTGACCAATACGATGGCTCCTTCAGGCCTCGCTTACGGCAAGGTGAGTGTCCCCTTCCCTTTCCATCCCCCTTCTCTACTTACCTCTCTTTCATCCCTTCATATTGCTGTTGTGCCATAGTTCTTTAAAATGGTGAGCTAATAGTGCCATAATTCTTTAAAATGGTGATTTAATAGTGCCATAATTCTTTTAAATGGTGATCTAATAGTGCCACAATTCTTTAAAAAGGTGACCTAAAAGTGCCGTAATTCTTCTTTAAAAGGTGAATCTATCAGTGCCACTAGTCACACAGGTGACCTTAAAATGCCACAAGTCATCACAAGTCATCACAAGGTGTGTCATTTTTCAGGTGCGACAAAGATCAACGTCTCCATGGTGATGCACACCCTCATTGTCGACGAGACCCGACAGGTAAGTGACGTGTAGGTATGACGAAGACAAGTAAGTGACGTGAAGGTGTGATGAAGACAGGTAAGTAACGTGTAGGTGTGATGAAGACAGGTAAGTAACGTGTAGGTGTGATGAAGACAAGTAAGTGACGTGGAGGTGTGATGAAGACAGGTAAGTGACGTGAAGGTGTGATGAAGACAGGTAAGTAACGTGTAGGTGTGATGAAGACAAGTAAGTGACGTGAAGGTGTGATAAAGACAAGTAAGTGACGTGAAGGTGTGATGAAGACAGGTAAGTAACGTGTAGGTGTGATGAAGACAGGTAAGTAACGTGTAGGTGTGATGAAGACAGGTAAGTGACGTGAAGGTGTGATGAAGACAGGTAAGTAACGTGTAGGTGTGATGAAGACAAGTAAGTAACGTGTAGGTGTGATGAAGAGAAGGGACAAAGAATCAGTAGCTAGGTTAAGACAGCACCTTTTAGGGGGGGGGGGATGGCTTATCACCTTGTGGAAGTTACTGTAGCTGTGGGTGAAGTTTAATCAGTTAATGTACTGATATGGCTGAGTAATTACCTGGGTGTGGCTGGAGGTAGAGTTGGGTATATCAGTTCCCTTACAGTTTACCTACCATGAGACCCTCTGTGCACTCCTCCCTCACTAAGGATACCCAGTGAGAGACAGTGGACGCTTCTCTCACCGAAACACTGAAGATCAATTACAACAACGACGATTATGCCAAGATAGTGACAATAACTCTTAATTATACCCGAAAAGAGACAAGTTAAAAATAGGTAGACAAGGCTCCTCGACCTACTAGAGGGACCCATTCATGCTGATTATATCTTCAAAACAACACCAATGGAGTGTGGGAGAAATTAACACTATGCAACTCCCATAGGATTAAATTACCCCCCCCAAAAATAAGATAAAACACGACAGACACCAGATAAGCCTCTCTGAGGGTCTATGGCGGAGGAGGAGTAGGGAAAAAACTGGGGTAAAATCCTCCTCCACGAACCAGAACAACAACCTACCCATCTCCCGCGACGAGACGTTTGCTTGAATAAATGAGCGGGAAACTTCTTGTCCAGGGTTGAGATAATGAAGTGGAGGTCGAGAGGCAGCTATAATATGTGTTTTGTGGGTGTTGTGGTGATGAAGTTTCTCTCCTGAGCGACCTGAGAGAGTAGCATTGCTTAGCCCTCAACGCTGTGCTGTGGGGGGTGTAGAGTGCGACCCGCAACCTCCGAACAGCTGTATGACATGCAAGGAGATACCCGGACCAAGTCACGGAACTAGAGCAAGATTAATGTAAACTAACTAAACCTATAATTCGTCCAACTAATTACTCCGATTCTTCATCTATTTCACCTCAAGATTGACTCAAACATTCCTCAGTGTTACTCTCACTTTCGTGACGCCCCTGAAGGTAACACTTAAAATCTATTTACCAGTTTAAGGTCTTCCGTAATGGTGCTGGACTGACTCATACCTCCCCCTACAGGTGCTGGAGATGTCGGGAGAGCTGCTGCAGGAGTGGTATGACCCTGCTCTTGTGTTTCCTGGCACCAGCGCTAATATCGTCTCCTCTGTGGGTCTCTCAGGTAAGTGGACCCTATTATACACACAGGTATCCCCCTCATTAACACCTGTTGCTGATAATCTAAATTTGGGGAACAGGTGAGAAGAATATGTTTACCGTGAGTGTGGATAAGTGATGGTCTGTAGTTGAAGGTCGGCTGGTGCCCTTGGGTATGACTTGTGCGAGGAGGAAGACGCCCTCTGGTCGCCGCCAACCTTCTGTTACTCGTATTGATCCCGAGTCTCGTGTCGTCGACCTTAGTGAGGGACCATCAACCTCGTCGGGCGGTGGTGAATCTGTTGAAGTGTGAAGGATAACTAATAGAAGACTGACTAATTACAAACACACACACACACGGACACAGACACACACGGACACAGACACACACACACACAAACACAGACACACACACACACACACAGACACACAAACACAGACACACACAAACACAGACACACAAAAACACACAGAGACACACACACAGACACACACACACACACACTCACACAGACACACACACACACACATGTAAATCACGCTGGGTGATGGTGGTGCTACTGCCAACTTTCTCTCCTCAAACAATCTGGTTGTGAGGAAACGGCAGTAGATCTCAGGACGAGTCTGTGTTGGTGGGCGAGTGGGCACAGCGCTTGTTTCCTGTCTTAGGGGCCGTTTGTTCACCCAGCTGTGAATGTGTGTCTAGTTTTAAGGTACAGTTGTGTGCATTTTACCATAAATTCACCCTCCTACACACACACAAAATGTTTACTTACACGAACACGCTCAAAAACATACACAGACAAAATATATACAGTATGTACGTACACATGAGCAAATATATTCAAAGCCTTCACTCTCACACACCCTCGCCAGACACTCAGAGACAAGAGGAAGACTTTACACGTAAAGTTCCTCTACACGCGAGGCGATGCTTCATCCTCTTGTTGCTCACGTACGTCACTGTTTTGTGGTCTTTAAGACGTCTCTTTCACACTTATAGCCGGGTCTTGACGCTACTGAACCACCCCTTCCACCCTCTTCTCACCTCAATACCATCAACCTCTCAACACAATTTTTGTCTTTTGACTCTTGCACGTCGAGGACCTTGGGGATGGAGGGCGTGTCCCCCTTGTTGCTCTTCTCTGCTCCCCGACCCAGAAAGGTAGATACAGGTTGCGTAATGGTGGAACGTTTGTGAAGTACTTGGCCTCTTGTATGGACTGTTGAGCAATGACACAAGAGCCGTGGAGGAGGGAAGGTGAGAGATAAAACTGAATAGAACAAGAAGAGTTGGGCAGGTCAGGGCGGCGATGAGGGGTTTTGCCGCCCCCTTCTCCTCGCTGACTTTTAAGACCGTCACGTACTCTCCTCCTCCTGTGTACTGGAGCACCAAAAGTTTGTAAAATGTAGGTGCGACTAACCTCGCCCAGGTGGAGGTGAAGAGCCGCTGTTCCTCCATAACAAGACAGCTAAAACAACAGGGACACGACGCCGGCCTGAAGAGACTGTGTAACAAGGTTACTTGTGGGAACCTCTCACGCGTTGATGAAGAGCTGCTTCTCTACCTCCGTGCTCCTCCACTCCCCTACCCTTATCTCAACACTCCTCCCCACCCCACCTTTCCTCTCAACACTTCTCCCCACTCCATCCTTCCTCTCTCTCACCCCTCCCTTCCTCTCAACACTCCTCCCACCCCTTCCTCTCAACCTCCTCCCCACCCCACCTTTCCTCTCAACCTCCTCCCCCACCCCTCTTTCCTCTCAACACTTCTCCCCACTCCATCCTTCCTCTCCCACCTCCTTCCTCTCCTCCCCACCCCACCTTTCCTCTCAACACTCCTCCCTAATCCACCTCTCCTCTCTCCACTCTCCCTCCTCAACCCCCAACCCCCAACCCTTACATAATACTCATCTCCCCTAATAACCCATGGTATATTATATTCCCCATGCCCCTAGTGTAAGCCTCCCCCATACCGCGTTCCTATACCTGTACTTCCATCACTGATCGTCGCCCCAAAACCAGCAGCTCTGGACCTCTCCTCTTGAAACACACTTCTAAACTTCATATAATTCTGCCATTTCCAAAGTAGTAATACGCTTCCACACGCTAAGTATCTGTATACACAACCCGGGCTAATGTTCATATGATAATGGCACTTAACTTGGGTTGTGTTGTGAAGCGGATCAGAGGGAAGTGGGTCAGGTTAAGTCAGGGATCACCACAAGAGCTTCAAATGTGTATGTTTGGGCCCCACGCTTGATCATCCTAGGTGTCTTGCCCGCCACGCTTTAACGTTCATTAAATTAGAGAGATTTTTCTTTTTCTTTTCACTTAAAGTTTAGAGATTTATTAGTGACAGAGAAATAAGAATTACTTTTAATGATACAAGATACATTAGCTAAGGTTAGGTTAGGTGTCAGGTTTGGCTGTGGGTCTTGGCAGGTGTTCGCATCATACCTAATTTGTGTTCTTAACTTATCCACTCTACACAAACGACCACTAAGAATATCATACTCATCTCATTCTTACTCTCTCTCACACTTTTTCTCTCTAACCTTTCTCTCCTCTTTTTATATCACTGTCTCTCACTATCTCTCTCTCTCTCTTTCACTCTCATCGTCACTCTCGTTGCTTCACTCTTTCTCCCCCACTCTCCCCTTCTCTCTCATTGTCTCTCCCTTTCTCCCTAACTCTCTCCATCTTTCTTCCTCACGCTCCCCGTCTCTCTCATGGTCTCTCCCTCATTCTTCATCTCTCTCGTTGCCTCACTTACTCCGTCTCTCTCATTGTCTCCCTCCGTCTCCCTCATCGCTGTCGTGTTCATCACTGAGGGGAGGCGAGAGAAAATGTTTTTACGTCTCCTGTGGTCATATTAGCGCCTCGAGCGGAATACCTGGGCCAGTTCTCTGTGGTTTGTTTAGGGAAAAAACAAACATTTATATTCTGTGGGTGTTGGTGAGACTCGTGTATTTTCTGTCGTGAGATGAGAGAGGATTTTGTGATTGTGGGGAAGAATCGAGTAGTTTTTGTGGTTGTGGGGAAGAATCGAGTATTTTTTGTGGTTGTGGAGGAAGAATCGAGTAGTTTTTGTGGTTGTGGGGGAAGGATCGAGTATTTTTTGTGGTTGTGGGGAAGAATCGAATAGTTTTTGTGGTTGTGGAGGAAGAAACGAATATTTTTTGTGGTTGTGGGGGAAGAATCGAGTATTTTTGTGGTTGTGAGGAAAAATCGATTATTTTTTGTGGTTGTGGGGGAAGAATCGAGTAGTTTTTGTGGTTGTGGGGAATCTCTTATCATTTCACAAGCTTCATCATGATGTTTGTTAACTAGATAACATATTTCTGCGTTTAAGCACACACATATAGAGAAAGAAACATATGTTTTATATTAGTTAAGAGAAGTCCTTAGTTACCCATTAAAGATTAAGTTAAATAGAAAACGCATAATTTCAAGGTAAACTTCACAATAAGGTAATTATATCATAAGTAAATACTAAACCAGTTCTACACGGTACTTTAATGATGAGATTCACTTTAAAAAAATAAGGTTTAGAGCAAAATTACTGTGATATGGTGATATTTGTGGAAAAAAATATTCTTAAATAGAATATGGTGAAATTATTGCAAAAAAATATTATATGCAGTTTTTCTCTTTTACAAACAACAGCCCGACAGGTGTTACCTCCCCTGCGGCCCTCCTTGACCGCAAACAACTTACTAAAATTATTCTCTGGCCACAAATGCCCCTCCCTGGCCACAAGGATTCCTCCCTAGCTACAAACACTCATCCCTGGCCTCAAATACCCTTCCCTGGCCACAGAATACTCTTCCCTGGCCACAATACGCTTCCCTGGCCACAAATACCCCTCCCTGCCCACAAAACACCCCTCCATGGCCACAAATACCACTCTAATGTCCATACTCTCCACAGCGACATCCGGTTCTGAAATCCGGGACAAGGTGTGGCGGCCTGACCTGACGGCGGAGTACGACATCAAGCCTCAGGGAGCCCAGTCACACGGCGACTTCCTCAGGATTCAGCGAGATGGTCACGTGACATGGAGCCAGAGGTAAGTGAGGTGAGGTGAGGTGATGGGGTTTGATGACGGGGTGATGGAGTGAGTTGAATGAAGTAATGAGGTGATGAAGTGAGGTGAGCGAGGTGACGGGATGAGTTGTTCGATGAGTCTAACACCCACAGACTACAACCATCTAGAAGAGTTTCAGTGTCTTGGATAACTAGGGAACGTCTTCTAGTACAAGGTAGACAAACAGTGGACAGATGTTGGCGGTGAAACGTGATGTTAACTCCGCGTTGTGATGAGTCGGCAGAAAATGCAGCTAAGTGACATTATCATGATGTGAGTTAGTGAGAGTTAAAGAAAATAAGAATGAGCTTCACTTGTGCCCTTTTATCACCGTGCGACTGGAGTTGGCCAGGGGGATAGTGAGGAGGAGGGGGGGGGGCTGACGTGCGCAGACACAAGACGCGGCGTAATTGGCTGCGACATTGGTATGACCCGGATGGACGCTGCTGCTTGGTTTTCATAATATTAAACCCAGGTCCTTAATGATTCACAGGCTGTCTTTTCTCATTAGTTGGATTTAAGAGAACGTATTTTCTACCACGAGAACTTTAGTTTAATTTCCTTGGGTCTTTGGTCACAGTTTTTTGTCAAGTTGTCTTTATGAGTCGAGTAAGTCTAGTTTGATGTCTAACCGCTCAAGTTAGGGAACAAACTGACCGTACGAACTATGTACTATGAAACAGGGCCTTCATCTGTACACACAAAGGTTCGTGCGATGAATATTCCTGGTAATTTAAGATGTAAGAATGCACTTAACGTCTTGAGACTTGCTCTAAAATAGTGATAAAAATAACTCCCGCCCAAAATATAGCACAACAATGACACTCGGACTCTACCTTAACAATATGTCTTCATCCTGTGTCAGTTTTGAGTTGAAAATAAGGAAGAGAAATTTCCCCAAACACCCTGTGCATTAATTCTGTTCCCTGATGTTAAATGGAGGTTTGTAGTTAAGGTTAAGGAAATCTGTGTATCTATGATGTTATTGTGGATGTTGTGTTTTATCTCAGTTAAACCAGTTAGGTGTATCGTTAGATCATACATTATCAGGATTATTCATCGTGCGAGCGCTTGTGAATCCAAACTGTGTGTGTGTGATAGTGTTCTAGCGTAATACACAACTTACACTAAGCTTAGCGTGTTTATATTGAAATTTGTAGCTGCCCAGTTAGTTGTGTGTGTGTGTGTGCTCCAACGTTCAATAACACAAAAATTCAGCCCTATCCTTTGTTCCAACGCGGTACAGGGATGGTAACTCTACTTGAACAAATGCTGCAACACTTTTAGTGCCGAAGTATGCAAATGAAGAACCTCATTACCATATACATATCTTTTTCATTACTAGTTAGTGATATCTTAGCCAACGTTCCAACCATTTTCACTAAACTTTGTGAAGTGATGGTAGTGTAGTTTACCTGAACAGGAGCAAATTGGGTTATCTAATTTACAGGGTTTTTATAGAGTCCCTTAATGTTTGTCTTTACAGAGTTGCTTTACAGAGGCCCTTGATGTTTGTGTTTACAGAGTTGTTTTACAGAGGCTCTTGATGTTTGTGTTTACAGAGTTGCTTTACAGAGGCCCTTGATGTTTGTGTTTACAGAGTTGCTTTACAGAGGCCCTTGATGTTTGTGTTAACATAGCTCCTTTACAGAGGCCCTTGATGTTTAAAGCCCAGAGTTGCTTTACAGAGGCCCTTGATGTTTGTGTTTACAGAGTTGTTTTACAGAGGCTCTTGATGTTTGTGTTTACAGAGTTGCTTTACAGAGGCCCTTGATGTTTGTGTTTACAGAGTTGCTTTACAGAGGCCCTTGATGTTTGTGTTAACATAGCTCCTTTACAGAGGCCCTTGATGTTTGTGTCTATAGTTCCTACTGCTGCCACATGTACTACTTTATATACTACTACAATCACATGTACGTACTCCTGACGGTGCTACAGGAGGTGAGAGAGGGAAGGGATTGAGTGTAATTGGTACAACTACGCTGCCTATTACGGCCGAGCCAACTGCGCCTCTCTGCCTATTAACCATCTGGTCAATTACCTTGTTAAGTTAGTCCCCAGCACCTCCTTCTACTGGCGTTGCTTGCCCCTCGCGTATGTCTCGTGACCTTAAATGCATTAGTCATCTGGTATGCAAGATCACCCCACAAAATATGTAACAAGTACTTAAAATGTCGCAAATTTCCGTAAATACTCCCTACAAAATGTAAATAATCCCCAAAATATCACAACTTTCCCTAAATATTCCCTACAAAATGTAAATAATCCCCAAAATGTCATAACTTTCCCTAAATATTCCCTACAAAATGTAAATAATCCCCAAAATATCACAACTTTCCCTAAATATTCCCTACAAAATGTAAATAATCCCTAAAATGTCATAACTTTCCCGAAATATTCTCCCCATTTTTTTCCAGGATACACTACACCTTCCCCTGCCTGATGGACTTAAGCAGTTACCCCTTGGGAGCCCACACTTGCTTCCTAAGGCTCAACAGCCGTGAGTATTAGAGCTACTGTTATTCTTCCTCTTCCCTTTCCTCCTCCTCACCTTCTTCTTCTCTTCTCCTCTTTCTCCTTGTTCCTCCTCATTCTCCCCGCAAGACTTCTTCCTTCTTCCCACTGCAATATCTCTTCCTCCTCCCGCAAGTCTTCTTTATCTTCTTTCCACATGATCTCCTCCTCCTCCTTTGCTGTCCACAAGACCTCCCCTGTTTCTTTTCCTTATTCTACAACACCTCTTCCTCCTCCCTCCTTAGGAAATCGACCCCGTCCTCCTCTGTCTTTTCCTCCTCCTCCTTCTTCCTCGACAAGACTTCCTCCCTCTCCCCCTTCTTCCCCTACGAGACCTCCCCTTCCCCACCAAGGCCCTCCTCCCTCTTCTTCTTTCCCTCACCAAGCCTCCCCTTCTTCCCCTACAAGACTTCCCCTTCCCCCTTCTTCTTTCCCATCATACAAGAGCAGCTGGTATCGTGTTACTCCACCTCAATAATAATACATTAGGTTAAAGATGACGTGGTTGTCTGACGTCATTCAGATTCTTACGTAAAATCACCAATAACCAAATTATTTCTGTGTTCAGCTAAAATTCTTCATGACAATAATTCTCTCGTAATTATTTTCGTAATTAAAAGAATAATTTATGTATTAATTATTTATATTTTGATTACATTTTGTTTTTGTCAGAATAATTTATTGTTTTAGTAATGTAATTATTTTCGGTTTGTTACCCATTGTGACCCATTATGACCGCTTGTGATCCCTTCTGACCTTGACCTTTCGTGACCTTCCTAAAATGACTGACGATGACCTTGTGATGACATCTTAATGACCCCTGATAACCCTTTAATGACCGTCTAATGACCCTTTAATGATTGATGACCTCCTGATGACCTTACAGTGGGGTATGAGAGCTCGGAGTTGGACCCCAATTGGTATGGTGACGCAGCTGTGGACTATAGTGAAGTAATTATGTCTCATGGCTACGAACTATGTGAGGTGAAGACAGAGAAGAAGACTGCTAATTTCTTCCACAGTAAGCCTTAACACAGTCCAAAGTCTTAACACGGTCCATAGTCTTAACACAGCCCATAGGCTTAACACAGTACTAGGTCTTAACACAGTCCTAGGTCTTAACACAGTACTAGGTCTTAACACAGTCCATAGCCTTAACACAGTCCAAAGTCTTAACACAGTCCTCAGTCTTAGCACAAACCTAACACCGCTATAATGTTAGGTGTTAAGGGAGTTTTAACACCTACTCTAATGGTTGGTGTTAAAAAGTCCTAACACCACCTTGTGCTAAGTATTAACACTCTCATAACACGGTTATCTTTAAAGTATACATCATGCATATATACATAAGATAATACATATAAATAATGTATACATGTAAAAGTTCTTCTATGGATACACTGCATTATTAACTATCTAAAAGACAACAAATTTCATAATGGCCTCAAGACTACACCAAGACTCTACCGTAAGTAAATTGGTTCTCTGTTGATCAGTTAGGTGAGGAAAACTAAAGTGATGTTAAAGGAAGTGTTAATTATTCCGGGAAGGGCTCGAGGCACCTCAGATTATTAGGTAAACTTTGAGGGGAAAAAATTTCTCCTCAGAGTCGCCAGGTAATAAGTCACAGGTGTTACATAATTAACCCGCGCTCTAGGGAGGGGCTGTAAACCTTCAAACAAATGTTCTTCACCACGCCTCAGACCCCGAACTGGTAGAACGAGTTAACTAACAGATAGAACGAGTCAACTAGCTACGTAAGATAGTTATATACAGTTCAAACAGATATGTAAATTAATTATACCTGTGGTGACCTGGTCTGTGTTGTGAATTTGACCTTTGACCTGAAGAAACACAACGGGCTCTAGAGGTCAACAGGGTGTAGCTCTTCCTGGTCACGAGGTGCAGCCGTCACACTAACAAGGAGAGAGAGAGGTCAGAGCCTGTACTGATATAGGGACACAGTAGGTGGAGGTAACAATAGCTCTCCCGCCCACAGTCAACTTGCAGGTGGTGAGACACATGAGTGGTGATCTGTCTCACTGACCTGGTGATGGCTGTGTGTCGCTAACGTTGTGTTGCATTTTAGAACTGTTATGTGGGTGATGAAGAGTGATGTCTCTCTTATTAACCTCCGCACCCAAGATCCAAATATTCGCTTATGGTACAAATAACACCACAAAGTTAACCAAGAGTTGCCATGGTGATAGTTTCTACAATAATAACACATACTATTTAAGGTGATAAAGAAAACGCGGATATGAAACATTTTCCAGGGGTGACTATCATAAATATTCTTTCGATATTTACTATTTCATGCTAACGGTTCGTAGGCAGTGTTTACATTCTCTCAGACAATGTTTAATATTATTTCTCATCACCTAATTAAGTTCTTCTCTTACTTCATAGCTTAGGTGATATTACAGGCTATTACAGTAGTATAGAATACAGTAATTCTAGATACAAAGGTACACTAGTATACAAAAGTGTCATGGTGAAGTGTAACTAATGCCATCCCGACCCACAACAGAGGTGAAGTGGCAGCTAGTGGTCGAGATGGAGCTGGAGTCACACAGCAGGTGGCAGGTGAAGCACACAGTCATCCCCATGATAGCCACTGTCACTACTGCCTACCTCTCCTTCTTCATCAATATCCGAGGTAAGTCTCTCTCTCTCTCTCTCTCTCTCTCTATCTCTCTATCTCTCCTCTCTCTCTCTCTCTATCTCTATCTCTTTACGTTCAGTTCACCATTATGTTAAAATTTCTCTCTCTTTTCCTCTCACAAAAGATAACACCAACCTTCGTCCCACTCTCCCCTATTCACTCCCTTCCTTTCCAATCCATTTCCAACCTACTCCCACTTCCTCCCTTTCCAACTCACTCCCAATCCCTCTCTTTCCAACTCGCTCCCAATCCCTCTCTTTCCAACTCACTCCCAATCCCTCTCTTTCCAACTTTCTTCCTCTCGCCTTCTGTCCCTCCTTCTCACATCCACTCCTTCCCTTCACTTCTCCCGTCCTCTCTTCCTCCCTGACACACCAGTAGCCTCACCCACGCTCTTGTTACAGCCACCAGCGCTCGGGTCATGCTGTGTATGATGTCGCTGATGACTGCCGCCGTCATACACGAGAGTACTTACAACAAGGTGCCGCCAGCCTCCGCCACCATGGTAAGGTTTCCACTGTTTATTGAGTACAGCGACGTGCGGATAGCTTTAAGTCATCATACTCAAGGGATTAAGTCATCATACTCAAGGGGTTAAGTCATCATACTCAATGGGGTTAAATAATTGTATTCAATGGTTTAGCATATATTAGTCACAAGGCTATCTCACTTTACTCTGGGATAGTGTCGTCATCAAGGGGTTAAAGCCTGACCCCGTAGAACAATTACGTTCATCAGATGCTGCTGCTGAGATCATCAACCTGAGTAGAACTGTGACCAGGAACCTACACCATCAGTGGTCTGGGCGCCAAGATAATGAAACACACAATAACAGCACCACCGTCTGCCTCGCCGCGTCCGTGAGATGCAGTGGGCAAGTTTGGCATAGTTGTGTGGAGTCTTGTTGTCCGGGAGTGTTTCTGGCAGCACTGACGCAGCTCTTGGGCGATGATTGTTTACGCTACTCTGTGTTAAGTCATTCACACTAATGGTATAAATCTTTATTGGAAAACAGTGTTAGTTGATGGACTGATTCTTCATGTTAACAGCTGTCTGGTCTAGGTGGGGGAATTATTGATATCGTTTGAGTGAAGTAGCGCCAGAGTGAAGAATTAGAAGACTTTATAGTGAGTTCAGGAGCCTGCATCTATGGCTACACCTGTCACAAAGTTACAGCTGCTCACCCACACTACTCAGGTGGATGATTCAATAAGTCGCTTTGTCTCCCTTGGATGGCAACAGTATTCGCAGTCCAACTTTTCTGGGACTTCTTCTATTACCCCCCCCCCTCCCTTAGGCTGGATAGCGGCATTGTTCCTCTGTTACTTGGCCTCTTTGTCTGTCTTTCTGTTTACATTTATAAATTACTGTACTATAATGATGCAGTACCAGGTAATGACATGTTCCTCCCCGGCAGGCCATCGAGGTGTTCACCGGCACGTGTCTCACTTTCATCTTCGTGGCGACGGTGGAGACTGTGATGATGGACGTGCTGTCTCACTTCCACGCCAAGGGTCGCCACTCCGCCTCTCCACACACCTCCTTCGCTCTTGAGGTCCGTGGCTACAAGGTAGTAATACGAGAGGCGGTAAAAAAGTTTTGCAATTCAGGGGTAAAACAATGTCAGGTTCAGAGAGTTTGGTAACATCAAATTTAATACTTGGGTGTTTGTTTCAGCTAGTTTGAGTAATATGATACAATTTATTGTTTCTGAGTAAGAGATTGATGAATGACGAGTGAGAAAATTACAAACTTGGGTAAAATTGAACATCGGAGTGTGGTAAAATACTAAAGAAAATTCCTGGACGTCTGGTGGGAGTGTGGCACAGATGCCCCTCATACACTGCCATGAGGTAGACCAAGAAGTTCAAGCGTGAGGATGACGCTCAGTCAGGACGGCCTTCAGATGCCATCGTCGAGGCAACTGTAGACAGAGTCGAGAGGTTATGTGTGACCGACGTACAGTATCAAAGCAATGTCTAAGGCTTCTGCAAGATGGTTTCCTGAAACCTCGTCGTTCGGGTTCGACACCAAAGGACGGCTTCAGGTCTTGAGCTCCTTGAACTGTATAAAGCCGGTCCAGCCATTTTTCTCTCCCGACAGTTATTGGGAGATGAGACCTGGATTCATTAGGACTCCGAGTCAAAGTTGAAATCCATGCACTGGAAACACCCGAAGTCTCCGATCTGGGGATACCAAAGGGACTCTTTTGTTGTACTATTGTGCCGGACGCATAATATTACGTTGGCCTAATGCAAACACTGAGTGACGTCATCCGAGAGAACCAATGAGGATGGTCGACTGGCGGTGTATTGCTGCTGCTGCTTCTCGACGTTGTGTTGGTCCACACCTTTTGTGCCACATAAATGTCTCTTCACGACTGTGGGTTTGAACAGCTTGACTACTCTCTTTACTGCCCTATTCTGACTCCAGGTAGCAAGCACCTGCTTCAAAACCTGAAGTCAAGCCTCCGACGCCGCCGCTTTCAGGTTAACTCCCGGGGATTAAGTGTCAGTAATGGCTAGTGCTACTTGTGAACAGGGCTGTGCCCTTCTGAGGCCCGAGTTAGAGAGGGCCAAGGAAGAAATCTTGAAATTAAAGGAAGTGATAGCGAGGATGAAGGAAGAAACGAGACAAGGAAAGCCCGTGTTTGACGAAAACACAGGCGAATGGAAGGTTTTGAGGAGAGGGACGACCAAACTGGTGGTGAAAAAACCCACCGAGGATACGACAACAACAGCTAAGTGTACCAACTCTTTCAGTCCTTTGATAGACGAATTGGACGTTAACATAGTCAGGGACAAGGCTGACAAGGAAGGTACGAAAACCTTAATTGATGGTGATTCCCAGGTACAGTACCTGGACAGAGCTTTTTGTGGTAAAAATAAAAATAGGATGAGGGTGTGTTTGCCAGGAGCTGGAGTGGGGGATATAGTTGACAGGATGGACAATATCTTGTCTGGTAATGGGAACAAACCCATTATCTGCCTCAGTGTAGTAGGAGGCCGGTGTGATATTGGCCGGTGTAGGAGTGAGGAGCTTCTTGATAAGTTCAAGAAAGCTATAGGACGTATTAGGTCGAAGGGAGGGATCCCTGTCATATGTGGTGTCCTGCCTAGAAGGAGAGTTGGCAATGAATGGTTGTCAAGGGCAGTTGGTGCCAACGGCCGTCTTGAAAGATATTGCAAGTCAATATCAGTCCCATTCATTGACAACTGGGAAAACTTTTACTGTAGAAGGGACCTTTATGCTAGGGATGGGGTGCATCTGTCTAGGGATGGGTTGGCAACCCTGGCTGGCTCTCTCGAGAGGGTAGCTCAAAAAATGTTGAAGTCTTTAAACTGCTAGGAGAACAAATGAGCACGGGGGTGGAGGAGACTGCAGTGGGAGCGGGTAAGCAAAGTGAAAGGTTACAGGGAAATAGTGCTAGGAAAGATGACAAAATTAAATTAGGCAGGGAGTTAAAACCTAAACGCGACAAAGAGAGGGCTCAGAACACGACTAACTTAAATGTCTGCTACACAAACAGTAGAAGCATGAGAAACAAAATGGATGAAATCAGGGCGTTGATATGTACTGAAAAAAATCGATAGCATTCACCGAAACATGGATAAACCTAGACTCGTGGAGTTCCCCAAGGCTCAGTACTTGGACCATTATTATTTATTATATACACAAACGACATAGATATCGGCGTAGATAGCAACATAAGTAAATTTGGTGATGACACTAAAATAGGGCGTGTACAGTAATTAAATCTGACGAGGACTCCGCAAAACTACAAAAAGATCTAAACCAATTTTTCGAATGGTCTGAAAAATGGCAGATGAAATTTAATGTGGACAAATGTAAAGTACTCAGTATAGGAGACGTAAACAGCGAAACCAGATACCAGATGAACACCGATGTTATTGAGAAATCCAACTGCGAGAAAGATTTAGGAGTAATGATAAGTCGGAATCTTAAGCCAAGTAAACACTGCGTATTTGCTCGAAACAAGGCTAATAAAGTACTTGGGTTCATACAAAGGAGTGTTAGTTACAAAACTAGCGAGGTCATCCTAAAACTATATCTTGCGCTTGTGAGACCTCACTTGAATTATGCAGTTCAATTCTGGTCACCCTATTACAGAATGGATATAGAATCCGTAGAAAGAACTTAGAGGAGAATGACAAGACTAATCCCGGGTATTAGGAACCTTGAGTACAGAGACAGGTTAAAGCATCTTAATTTGCACTCCCTCGAGAGACGTAGAATGAAGGGCGATATGATCGAGGTGTATAAATGGAAGGCAGGGCTAAACAAAGGGGACATTACAAAGGTACTCAAACTATCCAACCAGGAGCGAACTCGTAGCAATGGTTTTAAATTAGACAAATTCAGATTTAGGCGCGAGATAGGTAAACATTGGTTTGGAAATAAAGTAGTGGATGAGTGGAACAAGTCACCAAATATCATCATTAACTCGAATACGCTGGATAGCTTCAAACATAGGTTGGTTGGAGATATGAGCAATAGGGGTTGGGAGTAAATGGGACTGCCCAGTATGGGCCAAGAGGCCCACTGCAGTTTCTTCCATTCTTGTGCTCTTATGGTCAAAACCTGAAGTCAAGCCTCCGATGCCGCCGCTTTCAGGTTAATGAGGCGCTGAAGGAGGAGGAGCCAGCAGAGTGAGTTTGAAGGACGAGTGAGGGTAAGAGTATTATAGTTAAGAGAGACTTTGGTTAAGAATAAAATATGGATGTGGTTCTGTCTTTTTATTATATACCCAGATTGCAAAACTTTTTGACCGCCACTCTTAAGAGTATGTATGTGTGTGCGTGTGTGTGTGTGTGTGTGAGTATATGTGTGCGTGTGTGTGTATGTATATGTGTGTGCGTGAGTGTGTGTGTGTGCGTGTGTGTATGTGTGTGTGTGTGTGCACGCTAGCCCTCTGACAAACAACATCAACAGTGACTATAACTCACCACTGACTTCTCTCCCTCACAGCCTGATCTGACGGAGGAGCGAGGAGGTTCTCAGATCAGCATGGCTGCCCTCTGGTTGGACCGATGCTTCCGAGTCCTCTACCCCGCTGGCTTCATCGCCTTCAACGCCGTCTACTGGGTGATGTACAAGTCCTCATAATCCGGTCTACGGCGCCTCCTTCAACGCCGCCGTCTATACTGGGCTAACATACAATTTCCCTGGACATACAAGGACCTCACAACGCCGTCATCTGCTTCATCTGCTCTAGTGAAAACAAAACAAATCAACAACGATCCTATGAATTCACAAGGACTGACTGACATTCTTAAACCCGTTAATAACACAGTTTCATAATACCTGTTCCTGCTACATCCAGATCCACTACAAGATAGAGTGATGGTGGACATGAAGTCTCTGTTATTATGACACGAAATACTTTTTTTCATTGGCGTTAAGGTCCTGTGGATAGACATGGAATTGGAAACTTGTCAAATGTGTTCAAGTCCAAAGAGACCTTAACCTAACCAGAGTTACCGGTGTTTCTCTCGGAACCCGTTCACCTCACCTAGCCTAAGTTAAGTTAACCAAACCTCAGCTAAACTATAACCAATGACTGGATCTCACTCCTAATGGCCCTAACCTCTGATGAGCCTTAATCATCATAGATAAGACCCATCCGAGCTGACACCCATAAACACGTACCAGTCATCGTGTATAAACAGCTGACGTTCTCTTAGAAGTTCCTCTAGAGACTAAACGCTGAAACTTCGTAGATGCTAAGCTGGAACTTTTCACCGCAACACCTGACCATCTTCTCTGGGTTGAGAGAGATACCTGCCGTCCTGAGGTTATAATGAGTACCGGCTGCCTCGCCTCCCCTCCCCTCGCCTCCCCTTCCCTCGCCTCGCCTCCCCCCCCTCACTATGGCATCATCTTCACTTGTAAATATTGACAGTCATTCAGTGTTGGTGCTAAAGTTTTCCGTCTTTAAACTGAGATCATTTATTCATTATATTTTCAGCAGTGACTTGATGCCTTCTAGTAGTGGGTTGATGCCTTCTAGTAGTGACTTGATGCCTTCTAGTCGTGACTTGATGCCTTCTAGTCGTGACTTGATGCCTTCTAGTAGTGACTTGATGCCTTCTACTCTTATGATTCTTCAACATTCCTCTGTAGTTTATGCTCACTTTAACCTGTTGTTGTTTAAACCCTCTAATTACAGGCATTATGGGTAGGTCTTTCGATAGGCTATAATAGACTTGTGTAATGTCAATGAATTTGTCGTTCTTGGTTCTAAAACACGATTTCTTTTTTAGTTTAGTTTTCCTTTGTGAATGTTCTGGTCTTCAGTTGACGTCTAATAGTGAGTTGAAAATGTAAAGGTGGTTCCTCAAAGAGCGATTTTCTTTTGATTGTTGTTGTTGTCGAAGTGGGTGGAGCGAGGGAGTCCCAAAAGAACGTGTTACTCTCTCTCTCTCTCTCTCTCTCTGCTTCCTAGAGCATCTTTTACAGACTGGAGAACACTGCAATTTTTTTTTCGTCCCCAAACTTTATATAATGGAGCAAGTCCTTTTGTGTCAGGTCTCTGGAGGATACGGTGTAAGCTTCTTCCGTACAGAGTAATGAGGGCGAGTTTCAATGTGTTAACTTACACTGTTGTGAAGAAAAAAACAGGACTCACCAACACCACATAATACAGTACTATGTGTGTGTGTTGCTTCAGCGGGACTAGAGAGAAGGAGTGAGAGGGAGGGAGTGTGAGAGGGAGGGAGGGAGTGGGAGAGAGAGGGAGGGAGGGTAGGGAGGGGAGGTGTACACATATCAAGTGTTTTGTACAGAGTTGTGTTCAGTATTATATATAAGCAGTTGTTGTTTTCTTGTATTTATTTTTAAGTTCCAACAGATTAAGTTTATTCCAAAGTGTTATATTTATGTATAGTGTGACGTCAAAGGCTCTACCTGTGGTGTTACAACCGGTGTGTGTCAGGAGGGACAGCGGCCACACCACAGCACCGAGGTAGAGCACGGCGCCATCTGTCGATATATAAAGACTAAAAGGAAAACCAACACTTGATTTCTCACTAATCTTAAGTTATATAATAATAATAATAATAAAAAACAAACAAATAAAAACTTTCAGCCATGTAACGAAGAAAATAATAAAAAGTAAAATATTTCTAACTCTCATTATCCAACAACAATAACAAACATAACAGCAACACAATAATAATAATAATAACATATATAAAAGTATAGACTAACAGCACGATGAAACTAATACTTGCTTTTATTGTGTTGACAAAGAGATGTGATGTTTTGATACCAGTTGATCCTGAATAATGTTTGGGTGTCGTCATCATTTTGAAACTTGTTTGACTGTACTTGTATTTTTAGCTGTACCTGAACTGTTGTTTCTGAATTGGTGAAAATACAAAAATGAATAATTTAAAATTTCGTAAAAAAAAATGGATTCCATTTGTAATGTTAGGAAGAAGTGGGTGAAATCATTCCTAACTAACCTAACCTAACCTAACCTTACCTAATATAATCTTTAGGACTTGGGCCCAAGAGAAATGAGGCCCAAGAGAAATGGAGCCCAAATAGAAATGGGGCCCCAATAGAAATGGGGCCCAATAGAACTGGGGCCCAAGAGAAATGGGGCCCATTTAACCAAACGCCAATATCACCATGCACGATAGCGCGTTCCATTGCAGGAAATAATTCTGAAACTCCTCACTTCAAAAATCTCCCAAAGTGAAAACTTCCTGCGAGTGAAAGGAGACTATTGCTTCTTTACGATACTTATATCCGGATAACAAAGAGTCTCATCCCTTGTGTCTCTCCCACATAAGGGCGAGACTTGCTTGAGACTCTCACACCAAGGCGGTATACATCAGCGAAAGCAGAATGTTACGCCACTGTGACTGCTTTACAGCTTAAAATTTTTGGGGGAATTGGAATTTTTCTCTCAAAGGAGTGTGAAATATCCTAAGGTGGTGGGGGGTGTGGTGGCGGGTAGGGGAGGTGGGCAGAGGGAATGAGGGTGGGTGGTAGGTAGTGGGGAAGGGGTGGGGATCGAAGGGTGGATGATGGTTAGGTGGGGGGAGTGAGGTGTCAGGGTGGTATGGGGGGTGGGGGGTGAGGGAGCATCAAGGACTTGTGTGAGGTGTGTGTGAACTTTGTTGTTTAAAAATGAGATGATGATGATTATAATGTAAAGGATAATAATTATATTAACAATAAATTATGTAAATAATAATAATAATAATTCTGTATTGTAATGCAGGAGGTTGGGATCAGCACACACACACACACACACACACACACACACACACACACACACACACACACACACACACACTTCACAACGAGACCTCAAGCATGTCTCTAACTTCACCTCGTCGCCTCACAGACGTTGAAGAGGGAAGAATTATCTGGTCATTCTTAGGTGAAGCGTCTGGGCGTGAGAGATGAGCATAGGTGAGGCTGGAGCTATGATGAGGTGAGAGGGAGGACAACAACAACAACAGCAGGCTCAGGCGTTTCGAAGCCAGTCTCCACCACCATCTTAAGAGACTGAAAATGCCTCTGGGGAGGAAGCACGCGCCCGGTCCTTCACTGAGGAGCAGGAAGGGGAGGATGAGGAGTGAGGTAGGAGGGGGGGAGGAGGAGGAGGGAGGAGGAGGAGGCACCCTGAAGAGCATTAATCCGGTTACAGACACAGGAGGGAGACGACCGGAACGAAAGGGAATCAGTGAGTATAGAAGCAGCTGGGGGGGAGGCGACAGGTGGGCTGGAGGTGGTGGAGGAGGGAGGCGACAGGTGGGCTGGAGGTGGTGGAGGAGGGAGGCGACAGGTGGGCTGGAGGTGGTGGTGACTGCACTAGCCAGCAACAAGCTCATTACAAAAGTGGTGGAAGGAGAGAAGAATGGGCGGTAGGGGAAAGAGGACGGGTGATAAAGGAGAGGTGAGAGGGGTGAGGACATCACTGGGAAGTCTCTGGTAAGGAGAGTGAGGTGTGGTTGACAGGGGCTTCATCAGACACGAGGGCGGGGAGGCAAGGGGGGTTTCCCCTAGGCGAGGGACGGGAGGCTGTGGACAGGTTGGTGCTCCAGGGTGGGTGACGGCCAAGGGTGGGTGACGGCCAGGGTGGGTGACGGCCAGGGTGGATGACGGCCAGGGTGGGTGACGGCCAGGGTGGGTGACGGCCAGGGTAGGTGATACTCACTAGGAAGATTGGAATGTTGTCCTGAAAATTCGTCTTCGTGCTCTACAGTGTCATAAGGACCAGTGCTCTACAGTGTCATAAGGACCAGTGCTCTACAGTGTCATAAGGACCAGTGTTCTACAGTGTCATAAGGACCAGTGCTCTACAGTGCCATAAGGACCAGTGCTCTACAGTGTCATAAGGACCAGTGCTCTACAGTGTCATAAGGACCAGTGCTCTACAGTGTCATAAGGACCAGTGCTCTACAGTGTCATAAGGACCAGTGCTCTACAGTGTCATAAGGACCAGTTCTCTACAGTGTCATAAGGACCAGTGCTCTACAGTGTCATAAGGCCCCGCAGATCTCCAGGACTCACAACGACCACAGATTTTTGTCTTCCTAATGAATTGACGGTCGATGGGGGGGGGGGGAAGACACTCCCTAAATCTGTCCTCCTGACCCTCTCCTCCTCTAATTGTCCTCCAGACCTTCTCCTCCCCTAAATCTGTCGTCCAGGCCCCCTCTCTCCTCTAAATCTGTCCTCCAGACCCTCACCTCCAAATCTGTCCTCCAGACCCTCTCCTCCCGTATCCTCCAGGCCCCGTCTCCTCCCCTAAATCAGAATGTCCCACCTTTGATCCAACATATAACACGGGTCTTGGCTTTACCTCGCGAGAACTGTTGTAATACACTTTCTGTGGATTCCATCTCATGTTGGTTTAGTTCACATTATCACAGTTGACTCCCTCGCTAAGACTGTGTGTGTGTGGTCGTACTCTCCCTGTTGCTGGGTCTACATTCGGCCTCCTCAGACAGACAGACAAACAGACAATACGTTCTACCATTTTCTCCACAAATTCCATTACAGATTTATAGGGTTAACGAAAGACCTGGTAGTATGGCCATTCAACACTACGGTCATTTTCTTCTCTTTCACTATAAGTATCATTAACGTTGACTCATAGTTCGTAGATACAATGTTATCTCGGGTGTATTAGGTTGGGATACAGACCTAATTTATGATAAGAAAGTTAAGAATACTAACGATAGGTAATAATGATGAGAATGAGGATTACAACAAGAAGAATAACAACGATAATAATTATGACAACACTCACTAGATATATTCAGTAATGGTAGGAACAGAACAGCTTGAGCCAGGATCCCTTGAGCCGTGGTGCTGATGTGCTGGATCGTACAATATTCCCTAAGTAAGAATATTCTAATGAAATTTGAGAATACCAGATTATTCATGTATGTATTATGTCAAAGGGATACAGCCAACAATTCTCTAGGGTCTAATTTAATATCTTATTCATTTATGCTAAAATTATTCTAATACGGACGTTAATGGTTTTTGTTTTGGTTGAGTAATATAAATTGTGTGGGTTTGTTTATCATCATGTTGTGAGGGAACAGCGAACATCTAGCCTTGTGTCTCACCCACAACACGTCCTCACGTCACACCCGCCTCACCCTCCTCTTCCCTCGCCTCACGATCATCCCCTCCTCCTCCCCCACCTCTTCTTCTTCCCCTTTCCTCAACCTGCTCCTCCTCCTTCCCTTCCTTCCCCACCTCTTCCTCCTACCTCACCCTCCTCCTCGCCACAGCTTGAGTAATGTCGTCATATTTCACTCTGGTAAAGTGAACCTGGGGGGTAAAGGTTCAGTTTCCCGGGTTAAAGTTGTTGTTGTTTTTCATTGAGCGACATTTTCTTCCTCGGTGTGTCTGTGTCTGTGTTTGTGTTTGTTTGTGAAGCTAAGGGGGTGTGTGTCGACGGCTGAGGGTTAGCTAGTACTGCCCTGCTGACTCTTAACACCATTATCACCACTACATCCCTCAACACCACCATTATCACCACTACATCCCTCAACACCACCATTATCACCACTACATCCCTCAACACCACCATTATCACCAGTACATCCCTCAACACCACCATTATCACCACTACATCCCTCAACACCACCATTATCACCACTACATCCCTCAACACCACCATTATCACCACTACATCCCTCAACACCACCATTATCACCACTACATCCCTCAACACCACCATTATCACCACTACATCCCTCAACACCACCATTATCACCACTACATCCCTCAACACCACCATTATCACCACTACATCCCTCAACACCACCATTATCACCACTACATCCCTCAACACCACCATTATCACCACTACATCCCTCAACACCACCATTATCACCACTACATCCCTCAACACCACCATTATCACCACTACATCCCTCAGCACCACCATTATCACCACTACATCCCTCAACACCACCACATCACCACTACATCCCTCAACACCACCATTATCACCACTACATCCCTCAACACCACCATTATCACCACTACATCCCTCAACACCACCATTATCACCACTACATCCCTCAACACCACCACATCACCACTACATCCCTCAACACCACCATCACCACTACATCACCATTATACATCCCTCAACACCACCATTATCACCACTACATCCCCAACACCACCATTATCACCACTACATCCGTCAACACCACCATTATCACCACTACATCCCTCAACACCACCATTATCACCACTACATCCCTCAACACCACCATTATCACCACTACATCCCTCAACACCACCATTATCACCACTACATCCCTCAACACCACCATTATCACCACTACATCCCTCAACACCACCATTATCACCACTACATCCCTCAACACCACCATTATCACCCAACTGGGCAGTACAGGCTTACACACCAAGCAATACGGTAACACCATAACATAAAAGGAGGTAATATTTTCCCGAAAGGTGAGCTCCTCGGCAGGTGACCCCAGGGCAGGTGACCCCCCGGCAGATAACCCCCCGGCAGATGACCCCCCCCACCCCCGGTAGGTGACCCGTGTCTGATAGAAACGTCCAGATTCATTAACCGAGTCTTCAAAACCCTCTAATTGAATTTG